CAAACCTCTTCCAGAATTCACTCGTCTGATGATTATGGACCATCCTCTAATTTTCCAAGTAAATCTACTTCAGTCTGTTCTTGCATCATTTCTGCCCCTAAATTAAAAAAAGTCTTCCTAGAAACACCCCAGCAGATACCATGTGTCCTCTGTGTCCACTCACACTCTTTAAGGAAAAGCACATCTGAAATGAAGGTACCAGGAGCTCCATGGGGTCTGTTTATCTCCTGTAATTTGAGTCCAGCCCTGAAAAGTCTACAAAAAAACTGTCTGATGATGACAAATTACCCAGAGTGATCCCTGCATGTACAAGAAGGACTTTTTTGCAGATTTCTGGTGGATAAAAGTGCCCCAGCCCTTACCTGTGTACTGTGCCTACTACAGTACTGAAGGAGATCCACTCTAATTCACCATGTCTTGCCCAGGTTAAACTCAAAGGTTTCTTCATTTCCCCTCAAGAGATCATATTTCCATTTCTCATTCTTTCCTCACTTATTCCAGTTTATCATTGATAAAACAATACATTCTTCTGAGATAGGCTATTTCTAGCAGCAACAGGGAGTATTAGCACAACCTTGATGGTGCTGCAGATGAACATAAATCCCCTGCACTACTGTCATCTTGGTCACTCCAAATCTTCTCATTACCAAACAGACACACCCTGCTATCCCATTGTTTCACCCCAGACCTAATCATCATCACTTTGCAATCAGGAAGGTCCTCTTGTAAAATACTCTAAAATACTCCAATTCTTCCAGGAATTCTTACTCTATTGGTTCAGTAAATTCATCCCCCAATGTCCTTAATACAAACATGAACCTCAGAGGTATCCCAAAGCCATTCTTAGGGAAGTCTTACAAGCACACTGTCTCCAGCTGCAGTCACTTGCCTTGATTCTGCTCCGACCTCATAATTCAATTCTTCAGTACAGCCCTTCCTCACATGGCACTCTACCAATCATTCCACTGAACATCAAGATGTCTAGAATCAACCTATTTCTCCACTCCAAAACTAAGTTATGAAAGATGCATAGAAGATCACATTAATTTGGTATAAATTATACCTATTGCATCCTACTCTTTTTGTTCCCCTCAAAAACCCCATCTTGCTCTAGACCATAACATCACTGTAGTCCAACCAAACAGACCTGAAGTTACATAAAATATCTACTACCACCTTTTGAACATCTGCCTACACGCAGCATAGCTCCTACTTGGAACAAAATCCAACCTACCTACCACATACTGAATTCACATCCTGCTTTCTTCTGGCAGGTCTGCACTTAAAAAGTAGCAAACAGGTCCCATCAAGTGACTTGATTCACAATCTAGGAAAAATTGCCTCGCTAGTTCCCAAAAATATCCAGTTCTCTCTGTTTCTGAAGTGGATCAGCTCACAAGTGATATTCCCCATATCCTCTCACTGTAAGCCCCAGAAATCCCACTGCTGTGTTCGGCCAAGATGAACTGTCTTCATCTTCTGCATACTCTCTATAAAAATAAGCCAGGTAGGATCTCCCTGCTGTACTCACAACAAATGCAATCATGTAGCTACAGCAAGTCTAAAATGTAATATTAAGATCAAACTCTGAATCATTTTTCTAAAGGTCTTTCCACCCCACCTTCTCAACCACAGCATTGTCCTCTCTTGCACCAAATCTCCTTCGTTCCCTGCTGTTCAGACCACATCTGTATCTTTCTTCCTTACTCTGAAACGACTGTGACACAGCCAAGCCATCCTCATTTTGGCCACACCCAGGAAACTAATTTACCCATTATCAGTCCTATTAATATGCCATTCAGAAAGATAAGACTAAGTATTTCCCAAGCCACCAACTGGAATAAACAAAAACCCCAAATCACCTTATGTTGATTGTAAGTAGATGCAGGAAATGTGAAGATGTCAAAGTAATCCACAGTCATGGCAAGAAATTCCACTTAAAGTGAAAAGTCTCCAGTACCAACCCAGGCTAAGTCTTCTTGTTGAGCAGAGCCAGCTTAGGCTGTTCTCCCTCTCCAATCCAATCATTCCTGCCTTTTCCCATAGCTTACTCATCCTTCTGCTAGACCCCTGCAACTTCTGGATGACTGAAAACGTCATATTGCAAAGGAAAACTTTTTCCTGCTATCTCTTTTCTTCACCAACCCTGCTGGATCAACCCTTCCTTCTCAGCAGGCTGACACACTTATTCTGTATCAGGCCTAAAATGGTTTCTGAGATAAGAGCTCCATAACTGAGCACTTCTAAGTCTGCTCAGTTTCTCAAACTATGGTCACATTAAATGTGCATGTAACGGTTAATAATCCTGATTTAGTGTCAGAAGAACAGAAGAGCATCAATCAAAAATCCACCTAGCTTATTTTCCATAGGTCAGGGGTCTCCATCTACTAGTACAAATCCAGGTGCTGCAGGTAAATCACTTTTACCTTTCACTTCAGCCAAATACGCGCTTCCCCTTATCTATCCATCCCTCCCAAGAATTCTTATTTTGGGAACAATCTGGTACCAGGCACCTCAAAAATTCCAGATTATAAACTTTAGGCCATACTACAGTGGGGAACCTGCCCTGTTATAATTTAAAGCTCTTTAGAAGGCACAGGTCCAGTCATAGCTTTGTGCAGGAAGTACCAAAATACTACACACCTTCCCAAGGAGGCACAGGGAAGAGTTTGTGTCTGAATTGTGGGACTGATCAAGAAAAAAAATAAATTCTGCCATGTGGAGGCTTTGGCTTTGATCCACTGCTGGTGGCAAATTGTGATTTGTCATGTTGAATAAAGGTGTTTTATCAAGGGTTCCTGAGCAACACCATTTCTGCCACTGTCTCAAAAAACAAGTGACCTGGCACACTTGGAGATGGAAACCAGACTGAGAGCAAGAAGAGGAGAGGACTTCCAACTACTGCTATTACCTAAGAAAGTGTTTGTAAAAATCAGTCATTTGATCATCTTCAGCTCCTATCAACATTCCTCTTTTTTCGGACCAAAACAAATATAGCAACCCAAGAAATTGCCTTCATTAATGCAGACTCAGGTATATTCACAGCAGCTTCTCACAATGGGTTCAGCATCTTCACACCTTCATATTTTGGGAGATCATCCTATTTATGATGCACACTCCAACAGAGTGACCTACTTCCTTCTCACACCATGTCTAATACCAGACTCCCTGACATTCATTAAGAATTGGTATGTTCATAATAACAATTCTTATCTCCTTTAGAAAAGTGATTGTTTTCCTAAAGCAGATGTTCTGGGAATAGCACAGAGCACCACTGGGCAGCCTGGAGGGCATCACATCCAGTGGAAAAAGACTCCTATTAGCAAGAGGATGAATGCGTGCACCCCATGAATATAAACACAGGGAGACCAAATAGGGAGGATATGGTTTTACAAGCTCTCATGTTGCCTTTTTTTTTTTCCAGTTTGTCGAGGCTTCTATTTGGAAAAACACGACAGAAATAATCTCACATCTAGCAGACCTATCTTGGAGTGAGAGGCTTAAACTCTTCTTTTGGTTAAGCTACAGAAAAAATTATTTGCTTACAGGCTAAAAATACTGTCATTCTGTCTCTCTTTAAGGAGCTCTTGAATTGATAATCCCACAACAAAAAACGGAAATACATGTTTAATGCAACTGATTAACATTTTAGCTCACTTTGGAGCACTCATTGTATCCCCTTACCTGAAGGTTTTAATTCCAGACTGCTGACATTTCCTGAAACTACATTACAGTTGAAAAATAAGTTATGGTGTTGACAGAGGACAGTGCTTGCTGGTCTGCCTCAAGCAAGAAATCTGATTACATGGCCACGCTGATCCCTTCTGGCTTCACCATTTTTCACAACATAAAAACCACTCAGCCATAATCCCTCCTTTTTTTTTTGTTGCTAATAAATTTAAGATCTAAGTGGGACCACAATGACTTCAGTACTCCTAGAAGTCATTTAACAAGCAAAGGGAGGTTATGGAGCATGCAGGTACTACGACGGCCGTGGCAGAAACTGGTGATGATCTCCTCCAATGTCTCCTCTTGGCATGGAGTCCTTGCTCATGAAGCTTGTGAAAGAGATTGCAGTAGGAGCCTGCCAGCTCTGTTGGCAGCCTGTCCAACATGGAAAGCCTTTACCTCACCTAAAGCAATAAAGAGAGATGATTCCTCCTCCTTTTTCAACTGTTCAAACCCTCCAACAACTTGGGTTGGTTTAAACTTCAATTGGATTGACAATATCCTCCAAAATAAACAAAGCACACGGTCTCGGTACAAAATGAACAGCAGCTGCTCCTCTTTATCAGCAGAGACCCAAGATGGAGTTTCAAAGGGCATTCAGACCTCTTTGTCTCCACCTAGGAATGAAGTCCACAAAGGCAGTGGTGACCCAAGCAGGGCAGCACTGGAACAAGGCAGGACTCCACTAACAGGGCTCTGGTGCTGCTATGGAAACATGGCAGTGGCTCATCCCCCTCCCAGCCAAAGGGGCAAAAACTGATGCCTGCCCCAAACTGCTTACCTCTCAGCCAGTCTTATTCCACTTTACCATGCTAGAAGTACAGCTAGCACCTGATTTTCAAAGTGTTACACAGAAGATCTTGGCATAACTTTTAGGAAAGGTAAAATTAAAATGTGTCAGGTCTCCTCTAGCCACGCTTTGACTGCCAAAAAAACCTGTGTCAAGTAATGCTCTGCTGGTCCTCCCTTACAGCACTCCTGCACACCTCACCCAAGTGATCTCCAACACCTTTCTCTGATGCTCAAGAACCTCCACAGTCTCCTTACTACTCTATTTGTGTTGGCAAAGGGTAAGAAGAGGGCAACCAAGCAACACTGAACATCTCTTCATGTGCACACATCTGGACTCATGCATATCCCAAATCCTCCCCACAAGCAATTTTTTAAGCAAAATGACTCATTAGCCACCACAAAGCCTATTTTTTTCCCTAGAGGACAATCTCTTTCAACCCAAGAGAGATTTAACTAATAACATTAAAATGATGACTTACCAGTCTCTCATTATCTTCTGAGGTTCTCTGGTAATGAGCTGCTAAATCAACGTAATCCTGTACCTGCTTGTTACACTCCAAACATTTCAGTCCATGGCGGATTAGTCTCAATGGGTCTGTGTGGAGAGGCATGGCTGGCTGAGTGCTAGCAGAAGGTCCCACCCCACCTCTCAGAGCAGCACTACTCTTAGGTGAAGGAGAGGGTGAGTGCAAAGTCTGAGCAGCCAGAGAGGCTGAAGAGCTTGGAGGAGAAGATGAAAACATTTGGTCTAAGGAAATAGGCTTCATTAGCAGCTGAGAACACTGCATGATAAATCCTTTGCTCTTATGATCTCTTGCATGTTTCAGCAAGCTACACTTGTTAAAAAAAAGTAGCATAGTTGAACACTGAGTACACATAACTTCGATATGAACACTTCGTCTGCTATAGTGATGAGTCAGGCTCTTCTCTAGGGCAAAAGAGTCCCCACATTCCAGGCAACAATATCCAGAGGCAGGTAAATTAATATTGGTGTCAGGTGGAGGGCTCAGGTTTGGAGTATAGACTGGCACTGGGTTGGCACTATGCAGTACTTTGTTGAACGCCTCCACGATGATGGGAGCAGCTTTCTTGACTTGGTGCACCAGTGGAACGGACATCTGTGTCACCTGAGTCTGATTCCGCCTCTGTGCAGAGGACTTTGCTGTGACAGAAGCAGCAACACTGTGCGGGACTAAGTTGAGGTTTGCCAAGTGTAGGGCTTTGGGGAGAAGACCAGAGGTGGCCGTGCTGGATGGCTGCATCACGACATCTTGTTGCTGCTGCCTCTTACCACCTACTTTTACAGCACCACTGCCGCAGTTTGGCAGTGGAGACAAAGACACAGTGCACATGCTGTTTGCAGCAGTATCTGTTTTCATAGCATCTGCATAAGGACTAGCTATGTTTGACAGCTGGATAGCCACAGTAGCCCCATTTTTAGTTGAATTCTTGCTAGCCTCACTTTCCATAACCATACTAGTGTCAGGGGATGGGAAACATTTAATAAATTCTTCCGCAGATGAGGAGGTTTCCACAGGAGACTCTTCTGAAGATTTGCCCAACTCATCATTTTCTGGCAAAATTCTAGTTACCGTTCTTTTAATTTCACCAGAGGATGTCTTGATAGTCTTTATTCTAACTTTGGGAATAGCTGGTGGAGAGCCAGCTGTCATGGAGGGAGAGCCTTTCCCACTGCTGTCACTGCACACACTTCGAGGACTTTCAGGCTGCTTGTTCGCCTTCCTCACCACCTCTAAGGGGCTTCGGGGACTCTTTGGTGACTTGGGCATTTTTGGACTTCCCTTTGTACCATCTTTAAAACCACCAGGTTCCTTGGTAAGGTTTGGCTGATCGCTTCTTGGAATACACGCAACCTTTTTGGCCTGAAGGGCTACTAACGCCGCCACGCAGGATGACAACTTTGAATGAGTTGGCTTCAATCTCTGGCGAGGTGGTACCGAAGAAGACATGTTCAGCTCAGGCACAGACCCCTTACTTTCTCCTACATTATTGTGAGGGAGGTCTCCAAATACCAGGCCTTCTCCAAGAAAGCTATTGGTATCCATCAAGTCCTTGCTTGACTCTACAAACCTCTCTTGTGCTTTGTCTTGTTCTCTCCTGCTCATTTCCAGCCTACTCTCTGACTGGCAATGAATTTCCATCTTTTGTTCCTTTTTACAGTATTGATCAAACATGCTTAATTCAGGCTCTGGTACCTTCCTAAGATGATCTAGTACTGAAGCTCCTGTGGGTATATACATTGAAGGTGGTGGAAAATAGGGAGTTTGGGCATGCTTAGGTTTATCAGCAATACTGTTCTCTTTGAACGCATCCTCTGGTTCAGGGCTGGAAATTGGGCTAAACTGACTAAATGTTGGCAAAGGCTCTGACTTGGACTGGTCCAGTTTATCAGAGTAACTTCTTGAGCTGTCGCCATTAATAAAAGTTGACTCAAACTTGCCATAATTATGCCCTAAAGCGTGAGCCTCCGGCGGGAGATCAGACGCACGAAATCCATTGTGCAGCAGACTAGTCCCAAGGTGATTCCCCTCCTTTTCTGCTTCAAAGGACTCCTGGCGACTTGTGTTCTTCACTATCACGCTCACAACTGGAGCATCAGAGGGAGGCAAAGAGTGAGATAAGGACACATTCTCATCTATGCAGATGCCCGACGACTTCAGTTGATTCTCATTCTCCTCCCCAGCTGATGGGATGGTCTCCTTGGCATCAAGGCTAGTTGCATCAGGGATGTCAAAAGCAGCCAACAGGTCATCAAAGTCTGGGGTTTTCATGTCCCCCATGATGAAAGCTGAGATTAAAAGAAAAAAAAAAGACCAAAAAACAAAAAAACTTTGTCAGGTACATTTCCCTCAAGGACAAACTTATAGGACTTACTTGCATAAACACCTTATGTGACAAAACCCACAACTGTCCAAAATGCTAACGCAGCAGGGCACAAATATGCTGCAGACACTTCAGCTTCAAATTTAACTATTCCAAGATTGACTTCCCTTCTCCCTGAGTCCCCATGAACAGAGCTCATCCAAACATGACCTTCTATATGACATCAAGCTGATGATGGGGCCGTATTTTCAAGTTGCATCACTATTCCAAAACCAGCTGTTGCTATGTGCCTCAGCAGAAAATAGTCATGTATGTTACTAAAGGGTTTTTTTTCTAGAGCTAGTAGGCAACAATCACCTGCTGTTTCTCAACAGACTGTCACATCTGAAGAATCCCATCCTCCTTCAAGGAAAAAAAGGTAGGGGTAAATGGGTGGCCCAAGAGAAACAAGCCTGAAAAGTGAGACAACTCCACGCCCAGAACAATTTAAATAATGGAAGACTTCAGTAGATATTTCAATACAGCCACTCAAAGCATGGTAAGCCAGGCCAGATTTATCTGAAACAGGGACAATGCTTAATTAGGTAACAACGCAAGGCAAAACTGCCCAAAGACAGACTAAAGGATCGTATCCAAATCATAACAAGAAATGGCATTCCCAGCCAGCTCTCTCTTTATAAGCCTTTCAGAAGGGATGTGGGGACTTAGATGCTCACCACAGAGGCCTATGACAACAACAATCAAGCTCTGATGAGATGTATAATGAAAACTGACAGCACTTGAACATTTGTGGTCACTACTGTCAGGGATTCTGGTTTGCCCTTGTTTAATCAAAATATGTTAAAGTTGGTGAAATATAGAGACTTCCCAAATATTTAAGAAGCCATTCTTTTAATATATGCTCCATTTAGATCTCAAATTTATGTAAACTGATGTATGGAGGGGAAGAAAAAAACCACAAAATCAAGAGCATCACCTGAACCAGCAGACAATCAACTCCTACTTGGCAAGGAGCACCTACAGGCAAGGTAAGTCCTGCCACGCTCACTTGATTTCGGGCTGCATTGGCACTGCCAAAGCCAGCAGCAAGTGAGAGAGATGGAGAGGGTGGCAAGAGCCCAGGAAAAGGGGGAAAAGCTAGGAGCAGAGAGGTGCAGGCAAAGAGGAGGACCCTGGGACAAGAGGAAGGGAAAGAATGAAGCTGATACCTTCCCAAAATTCTACCAATTTAAGGGTGCTTTCATTATTTACAATTGGGTTTAAAAGTCTGTCAAGCATCACATTAAATCCAAACGAAGCACAACTTTTCCTGCCAGACTTCCAGTACAGGGAACAATTTACAGAGCTGTGTCAAGAGAAATCACTTCAGCATGAAACAAGAGGACACGCTGGTCTTTGAGCTTCAGTTCAGCTATCCCTATAGAAGAGGCCCAGAGGTGCAGCTTTGGTTAATCTACTGCAAAACACTCTGTGGAGATTCACTTGACTTAAGAGTGGCTCTCTGTGGTTTAGCTTAAAGTTTTTCTCATTGTTCAATTAAACCACAAATATGAATGTCCACAGAGGGCTGTGCAATAATTTCCAATCACATCCCTCAGTGATGTATGGCAGCTGTGCCTTCCATCCCTGGAAGCCCACATGATCATCCATACGCTTCACATCAACAGGACTTGATAAGAATTTTTGAAAACATCAAACATGACTGCAGTTGGCAGGTTGTGGACCTGAAACTTTCCTTTCCTTTGGGTGGGAAAAACTGTGCCAGCTGGGAGAGAGCTGGCTCCCAAAATTTCTGCCATACAAATCCTTCTGGAAGGAAGGAGTTTCATCCATAACCTGGAATGTTCAAGCTTTATAAGAGAAAAACGAGCTTGTCAATTGCTCTTGACTTTTCCCTTCTCACTCTTGAATATCTTTGGATCATAGAACGGTTTGAGTTGGAATGTTCCAACCCCCCTGCATGGGCAGGGACACCTCCCACTAGATCAGGTTGCGCAGAGCCCCATCCAACCTGCCCTTGAATATCTCCAGGGATGGGGCAGCCACGACCTCCCTGGCAACCTGTTCTAGTATCTCACCACCCTCACAGAAGATAATTTTTTCAGGATGCAGGAGTGTTTTAAAATACACAACAAAATAAATGCAAGGTATCTGCAGCATGAAAAAATACGTTTTTCTTGGAAGAAATCTTGCATTTTCAGAAGCTTCTGCATACATCTTGGAGTCCTATAAGAGGACTCTTTGCTCTTTGAAATGATCAGAGCACAACTTTCTAACCCAAGTATTTCTCCACAAAACTGCAGCTTAAGTTTGTCACACACGAAGCTACAATTTCTCAAAATAAAGAAAAAAAAATATTCTCAGATAACAAAGCAAAAAGGTATATTAAATAAAATTATGTTAAAGCCTCCTGCAAATTAGCTTGTGGGTAAAGTGGAAAATAAAGACCTCCATCCTTCTTGTGCAAAGATTTGCCTTAGAACTTGAGCTCAGAATCCAATTTCCCTCTCTCTGCTTGCCTATTAAAGCATGGAGGTTAAGATTTACAAAGCAATAGAAGAGATCAATAAAAGGAGCAAACCAGAAGGACTTTCAGAGTAGAACGTATGTATTTCAATGTGCAAATCCAAACTCACAGCAGCAAATTTCTCTGTCAAGCAGTGAACCCAGAAGCCTCTAAGACATCCAAAAAAACCGTGTGAACTTGCCTGAGGCAGCATGTCAAACCCCAGGGCCTTCTGCTGTGGCAAAGCTTCAAAACTCTACAGTTGGGCAGAGGCACTACAGGGCCAGCATCCCATGCACACACCATACAAACCTTTTGCTAGCAGTGCTATTCTTGGGGACTTCTGTAGATCTGCAGTTGCTCTTCTGTGGCTTTCGAACCAGCGTGGACCATGCTGCTCAAGAAGGAGCTTCAAACCTGCCACCTAATAGGAAAGCATGAAAATGCAATTCCACCAAGGTTAAAGACTAAAGGAAAATAATATATACAGATAAATCTGCAAAACAACAGGGTGGCACAAGGAAAACATCTGCCAAGAGCTGCTCTCCTGGGTCTAAAAGAGGCAGGCATCTCCTGGAGGGGACGCAGAAGGGAGATGGACAGGAACTCCCTATCAGGAGAATATTTCGGAAAGGCAAGCATGCCAGGAGCCAGGGCCGAGGGGGCCTCTCTACCAGGTGAGCACTTCGGGCAGGCCGGCACGTCAGGAGCAAGGGCCGAGGAGGCCCGGGCAGCACAGGGAACCAACAGCGGCCGCCCACGGGCTGTCAGGACTGCTGGGATGGCACAGGAAGGGGGAAACTGCAGCCGGTGGGCAACAAACAGGAGCCTTCAAACGGCAGACGGGACCCGGGGCTTCCACAACGCTCAAGATTGAGTGGCCTCG